CTACTTCCCCGAATTCTTGGAGAACCAGAATGGTGATGGAGGGACCGGGATGGGGATGGGGACAGGATGGTTGTAGCCTTGACTGCTGGCTGTACTCTGCCCACAGGCTTCGATCTGGGCTGCCTGCAGATGTCCAACGAGAAGGTGAGCGACGTGGTGCTGCCACGGTGGGCACGCTCCCGTGAGGACTTCATCTACCAACACCGCAAAGCCCTGGTGAGATGCTGGAGTGGGATTGTTTTGGGGAGAAAACGGGCATTCCCAGCCCTGCTGACACCCAGTGTCCATTCAGGAATCAGAGTACGTCTCAGCTCACCTCCACGAGTGGATCGATCTCATTTTTGGGTACAAACAGCGAGGCCCAGCTGCTGTGGAGGCCCTCAACGTATTCTACTACTGCACATATGAGGGTGAGCCAGGGGGACAGGGTGGGGGGGGTGCCCACTGGCAGCCTCACTGACACCCCCATCCCCAGGTGCTGTGGACCTGGATGCCATTGCTGATGAGACACAGAGGAAGGCTTTGGAGGGTATCATCAGTAACTTCGGGCAGACACCCTGCCAGCTGCTCAAGGTGGCTCATTCCTTCCGAAAAACCAAAGCCCCCTGCCTCGTTTGAGGAGGTGCTACCCCGTTTTCATGGCTCTCTCCCCCCAGGAACCCCATCCTGCCCGGATGTCAGCTGAGAGTGCAGCCCGAAGGCTCGCACGCCTGGACACCCGTCCACCCAACGTCTTTGAGAACTTGGACCAGCTCAAGTCCTTCTTTGTGGAGGTGGGAACAGGGACATGGGGTTGCAGGGGCACCAATGAGGAAGGGACCCACTGACTGTGTGTTCCCTGCAGGGCATCAGCGATGGTGTGTCCCTGGTGCAAGCTGTGGTCCCCAAGAACCAGGCGCACTCCTTCATCACTCAGGGATCCCCCGATGTCCTGGTGAGCAAAGGGGAACTGGAGGATGCTGGTGTTGGGTGTCCCTGGGCCGTGTCACAGCTGTCACCACCTTTGCCCAGGTCACCGTGAGTGCCAACGGCTTGCTGGGGACCCACAGCTGGCTGCCCTACGACAAGAACATCTCCAACTACTTCAGCTTCACCAAAGACCCCACTGTCTCCAATGCAAAGTGAGCCCGCACGGATCTCCTCTGTCCCTGGGTTCCTTGGGTCACACAGCATCGTGGGGTGCTGGTGGTGCCATTCACCTGCCTGCGTCCTTGTCACCATCCCATGTCCCTCCACTCCAGGACCCAGCGTTTCCTGCAGGGCCCCTTTGCCCCCGGTGCTGACCTGTGCTCCCGCACTCTGGCTGTGTCCCCCGATGGGAAACTGCTCTTCAGTGGGGGACACTGGGACAACAGCCTGCGCGTCACCTCGCTGGGCAAGGGGAAGGTCATTGGGCACATCACCCGGCACATAGGTACAGTATCCCCCTCCACGGGGTGCCAGGACTGTGCAGGGACATCTCCACAGACCCCATCTCTGCGTCTCTCTCGGTGCCACCTGATGCTGAGACACCTTGGCACAGGAGCAGCAGCTCAACGGTGTCTCCCTTCATGTCACAGATGTTGTTACCTGCCTGGCACTCGACCTGTGTGGCATCTACCTCATTTCTGGCTCCCGGGACACCACCTGCATGGTGTGGCAGGTCCTGCAGCAGGTAGGGAGCTGCACTTTGTGCCAGCTCTTAGCATGAAGACAGTCACTGCTGGGAGTGTGCAGTGGCACAGCAAGGTCCTTGAGGTCCCTGTGTGCCCTCCAACAGGGCGGGTTTTCCAGCGGCTTGGCCCCCAAACCCATCCAGGTCCTGTACGGCCACGATGACGAGGTGACGTGCGTGGCCATCAGCACCGAGCTGGACATGGCTGTCTCAGGCTCCAAGGTCAGCCAGGGCAGGTGGCGTGGCTCATCTCTAGGTGTTGGCAGCACCAACCACGGCTACCTTGTCCCCTTTCTCCTTAGGATGGCACCATCATCATCCACACCATCCAACGGGGGCTCTTCATGAAGTCCCTGCGGCCTCCCTGCGAGAGCTCGCTGCCCGCTGCCATCACCCACCTGGCTGTGGGGCCGGAGGGGCAGATTGTCACCCAGACCGCTGTGGGTGAGCGCGCTTCCCTGAAGGTGAGGTGGCACGGCAAGGCTGCTGTCCCCATGTCCCCCACTCCCTCCTCTCTGTTATCCCTCATTTTGCTCTCTTTTGAAGGATAAATTCGCGCTGCACCTCTACTCAGTGAATGGGAAGCACCTTGCCTCCGTCCCGCTGGACCAGGAGGTGACGGCCATGTGCATGACGGAGGAGTTTGTGGTGCTGGGGACCATGCAGTGTGGGCTGGAGATCCGTGACCTCCAGAGGTGAGGGGGAGAATAATTGAATTGTTAAGGCTGGAAGGGACCTCTCACATCACCAAGTCCAATCATCAGCCCATCACCACCGTGCCCACTGAACCGTGTCACTCAACGTGACATCTGATGTCACTGTGCCCGTCCTGCTGACACCCCCTTGAGATTCCCATAAGTTCCAGTCTGCCACATCTTCTCTTCTTTGCAGCCTCCAGGCAGCAGTGCACCCTTTGCCCATGCGAGTGCCCATCCACAGCGTGTCAGTGACCAAGGAGAAGAGCCACATCCTTGTGGGGCTAGAGGATGGCAAGCTGATTGTGGTGGGGGCCGGGCAACCTGCAGAGGTGAGCACAGCCATAGGGATTGGGAGGTCAGGGCAGGAGGTGGAGGGGGGCCACAGAGATGCACCCCCTGTGCTCAGCTGGATTGGGGAGCTCTGCTTGTCCTCATCGCTCCCAGAGCAGGGAGGGATGGGGATGGTGATGGGGTAGAGTATGACTGGATTGGGAGGGAATGGGGTGGGTTGAAATTGGTCAGGATGGGATGGGATAGAATGGATGGGTTGAGGTGGGATGAGATGGGACAGAATTGATAGTTTGGGGTGGTTTGGGGTGGAGTGGGGCAGAATGAGTGTATTGGGTGAGGATGGGGACTGTTGGGTTGGGTCAGAATGGTTGGGATGGGATGGGGCATGACAGAATGGATGGGTTAGATTGGTACAGGATGGGTTGTGTTGGGATGGAATGGATTGGGGTAGGACAGACAGGATGGGTGAGATGGGGATGGGAATGAGGATCCACCCAAGGGTAGGGTGTGGGGTTTGGATGGAAGTGGGAGAAGAGAGAGAGTTGTGGGTGGGGTTGAGGAAAGAATTGGGGATAGGGATGGGGATGCAGATCAGGAAATGGATGGAGAAGATGGAGGAAGGACTGGAACGGGAACTTGGAATGGGATGATGGAGGGGTGAGGATGAATGTGGAGTTGGCGGAAGAAATAGGAGACGAAGATGGGGACGGAGTTGGGGATGTGAAAGGAGATGAGGATGGGCTTGGAGCTGTGGAAGAGGGTGGGAATGGAGATATGGAAGGGAATGGAGATGAGCTGTGGGGTAATTGCTGACCTCCCCCTCCCCTAGGTGCGCCCCGGCCAGTTCCACCGGCGGCTCTGGCGTTCCACCCGCCGCATCTCCCAGGTCTCAGCTGGCGAAACGGAGTACAACCCCACCGAGGGCAAGTCCTAGGCTGGCAACCCACAGCCGGCCCCAATGGCCTTCCTACAGCACCCGGCCCCTCCTGGGGGGGCACGGCATGAAGGGGGACACCGATCCTCCTGCAGCAGCGCCCCGAGCCCCTTGCGAGCCCGGGGGGGTGAGGATGAGGAGGGCTGAGCCCCACGGGGGCTGCATGCTCGGCCCCATGCCGTGGCCTTATCCAGCCCCATTGGGATGGGGGCAACAGCACGTGCACGGGGGGTGAGGAGGTGCTGGGGGGGGGACCCTTGCTGGGAAGGGGGTACCACATCCCCCCCCCTCACGCTCGCTGGCCAGGAGCCGGCTCCATCCCCCCCCTTCCCCCCCAGAGTTTTTTTCTATCGATTTCTAGCTCTTTTACAAAAAAAAAAAAAAAAAAAAAAAAAAAGAAAGAAAGAAAGAAAAGAAAGAAAAAGAATAATATATCTGTCTATAAGAAATAAATGTGCACAAGGCCTTTGTCTGCCCCGCGCTGTCTCTGTTAGGGACATTCGTTCCCCCCCATGCAGTGTTTTTGGGATGCCGTGAGGGCACGAGGCCCTTCTTTTCTTCCTGCCCTACATAGCAGGGCTGGTCTGGCACTGGCTGTGCTCCGGGCGGGGGGCCAGTGGCCCCATGTCCCTGCAGGCTGTCTGTGCTGTCCCCAGCCTGCCTGGCACACGGGTGCACGTGGCAGCCACCTCCTGTCTCATGTCACAAGCTGGGGGAATCTCAGCTGTGTCCCCACGTGTCACGGGCATGGGAGGTCTCAGCCTGGTCCCCACATGTCACCATCGTGAGGTCTCAGCAGCCGTGTCCCCTGGTGTAACGAGTGCAGGGGGTCTCAGCTATATCCCCTCATGTTGTGAGTGTTGACGGGGGTCTCAGCTGTGTCCCTCTGTGTCACAGATGTGGCAGCCTCCGCTGTGTCCCCTTGTCACGAGTGAGGGGATCTCAGCTGTGTCCTCGCATGTCATGAGTGTGATGGATCTCAGTCCCCACATGTCATGAGCTTAACAGCCACATCACTGCGTGTCACCGTCACAGGATCTCCGCAGCATTGCCCCCACTGGTGTCATGAGTGTAGGGGGCTCAGCAGCATTGTTCCCATGCGCTAGGAGTGCAATGGATCTCAGCCACATGTTACAAGCATGCGGGGTCTCAACTGTATCCCCACGTGTGCCCAGCACAGGGGTCTCAGCAGCAAGGTCCCCGCATGTCACAAGTGCCCAGGGTCTCAGTGACCCCGAATCCCCACCTCCTTGCTGGCATCCTATCCCCATGCCTGTCCCCAAGCACTGTCAGCGCCCGTGTCCTCCCCTGCCCCTGCCATTGCCGGGGCCCCACGGCTGGCAGCGACCTCTGTCCCTGGGCAGGGCTGGCCGCGGGTGCCCACGGCATCACGTGGAGCTGCACCAGCACAGCCACGGCCAGAGGCCGCCGGAGCCGCGCCGAGAGCAGCCACGGCAGTGAGGTAAGGACAGATGGACGGGAGGGCTTGGGGTGCTGCTGGGATGGCCTTGGTGGGAGCCTGTGGGGAAACTGAGGCACGGGGCGCTCCCCGAAGGACGTCAACCTCTGCTCCTGCTCCTGCAGGGACAGGGAGAACCCCGTGGCAGTGCCAGGTGGCACTGTCCCCGTGTCCCTGAGGCCAGGTCCTGGGCCCGGCTGTCCCACTGTCCCATAGGTCCCGGTCCCATAGGTCTACGTTCCAGGTGTCCAACTCCCAGGTGCTCCTGTTCGCTGGGTCCCTATCCCGGATTTCCCTGTCCCAAATGTTCCCCCGTGTCCCTGTTCTCATTATCTTAGGTATTCCTGTCCCAGGTGCCTCTCTAACCTCTAGATGTCCCTGTGCCAACTCTCCTGTCCCCAGGTGTCTCTGTTCCAAGTGTCCCAGCTGTCCCTGTCTCCGTGTGTCTCAGTCCCAGGTGTCACACACTCAAGTGTCCCTGTCCCAGATGACTGAGGTGTTCCGTGTGTCCTGGCATCAGAAATCCCAGTCCCAGGTGTCCCTGTCTGCAAGTGTCCCTGTTTCCAATGTCCCAGCTGTTTCCAGGTGTCCCTCACCCAGGTGACCCAGGTGTCTCTGTTCCCTTATATCCCCATTCTGCTGTCCTTGTCCCAGGTGTGCTGTCCCTAGGTGTCCCCGTTCTTCATGTCCCAGCTGTTGTTGTCCCCAGGTATCCTAGACCCAAGTGCCCCTGACCCAGATGTTCCTACTCCTGTTATCCCATGTGTCCTCATCCCAGCTGTCCTGACCCAGGTGTTCCAGGTGTTCCAGTCCCACATGTCCCTACTCCCAATGTCCCACGTGTTCTTGTCCCAGCTGCCCTATCACCCAGAGTCCCCATTCCCAACCTTCCAGGTCACCCAGGTGTTCCAGGTGTCCCAGCATCAGGAGCCCCTATCCCCCAGCATCCGTTTCCAATCTTCCAGGTTTCCCACAACATCCCAAATGTCCCTGACCCGGCTGTTCCAGGTGTCCTAACATCACATCCCTCTCCCTCAGTGTCCCTGTTCCCAGTCTTCCAGGTGTCCCCGAGTGTCCCAGTGCCACAGCTGTCCTTATCTCCTAATATCCCAGACCCAGGTGTTCTAACCCAGGTAATGCAGGTGCTCCAGCTGTCCTTATCCCAAATATCTCTGCTCCAAGACAGCCAATTCTCTCACCCCTGCCATCTGGACCCCTCCTATACACACACCCCCAGCTTGCAGGTCGAGAGTGGCGACCAGCAGCCCCGGAACCCCCTCAAAAAGTGTCTCCAGAAGAGTGGCCATGTGGTTGGGCGCCCGCCTGGACACACTGCCCACCCCAGCACTGACCATCGACCGCAGCACGGCGCGTCGCAACGCTGAGCGCATGCGGGAGCACTGCCGGACCCTGGGCGTCCGCCTGCGACCCCACGTCAAGACCCACAAGACGCTGTGAGTGCCACCCTTTGTCCCCAGTGTCCCCCACAGCCCCGTTATCCCCATCGTTCCCACCGATATCGCCTCGTCCCACGGATGGTTGCCTAAAGGGAAGGCGGTTTGTTGGCCACCGGCGGCACGCGGCGCGGCATCGCCGTCTCCACGTTGGCCGAAGCGCGTTTCTTTGCGGACGGTGGCTTTGATGACATCCTGCTGGCTTACCCATTGCCCACCGCGCGGCTGGAGGAGTGCGCAGGGCTGGCGCAGCGCCTCGAAGCCTTCCACGTGCTGCTGGACCGCCCCGAGGCGCTGGCCTGCCTGCGGCAGCGGCCACTGGCCCATGGCAAACGCTGGCTCGTCTGGCTGAAGCTCGACTGCGGCAACGGCAGAGGTGGGGATGGCGATTGGGGATGGGGTGGGGGGTCTCCAAGGCCTTGATTCCCGTGGGTTGGGGAGGATGGGGTGGGTCAGCGTCTCCTAAATATCTTTCTCACCATTCACGGCAAGCTCACCTTGTAGTGAGCTGGGGGTCGGCCTCTTCTCTCGTGTCGTTAGTGATAGGACCAGAGGGAATGGCTTCAAGCTACGGCAGGGGAGATTCAGGCTGGACATTAGGAAGTATTACTTTTTAGGAAGGGTCATCAGGCACTGAAATGGATGCCCAGGGAGGTGGTGGAGTCACCGAGCCTGGGGGTGTTCAAGGAAAGGCTGGATGTTGTGTTGAGGGACATGGTTTAGTGGGAGCTATTGGGAATAGGTGAACGGTTGGACTGGGTGATCTTGAAGGTCTTTTCCAACCTTGGTGATTCTATGATTCTATGATTCTATGCTCCATGAGGAGATGGCCCACGTTCCCCCAAAAGCCCCAGCGGCTCAAGCCAACGTGTGCCTATTAATCCCCAAAAAAGATTTCATCCACCCCAAGGATCTTCCATGGAGAGATGTTCCGTGCGTCCTCAAAGCCCCCAGCCCTTGTAGCACCGTGTGTCCATGAATCCCACAAGCCCCATTTGTGCCCACTCCAAGGCTGTTTCGTGGAATGATGGTCCACGTGTCTCCAAAGCTTCCTCTAGCTCAAGTTACTTATGGGTCCATCAGCCCCAGAAGCCCTATTTATTTATCCAGCCACCCCAAGGATGGTCAGTGAGGAAGGGAAGTCCCTTGTGCCCCCAAAACTCCCAGCTCCAGCTTACCAATATAGGGCCGTCAACCCCAAAAGCTCTATTTGCATCCAAGCACCCCAAGGATGGTCAGTGAGGAAGGGAAGTCCCTTGTGCCCCCAAAACTCCCAGCTCCAGCTTACCAATACGGGTCCACGAGTCTCAAAATCCTCACTTACACCCAACCACCCCAAGGGTGGACGGTCAATGGAAGAATGATGTTCCCAGAGCCCACAGCAGCTCAAGCCAATGCGGGTCCAATAATCCCCAAAAGCCTTTTTCATTCACCCCAAGGATGCTCCATGGAGAGAGATGCCCCGTGTGTGCAGGTTTAGGGTTAGGCATTAGGATTAGGGTTAGTGTCAGGGTTAGGGATTAGGGATAGGTTGAGTTAGGCATCAGAATTAGTGTTAGGGTCATGTTAGGGCCAGTATGAGAATATAGGGTCCATATTTATGTTCCATGCAGGAAGGACATACCCAACCTTCCCCATCCATCACAGAACCCCCAATCCCACCCACCCCGTAGCAGCATCCCGCTCCCATCCTTACATCCCCATGACCCTGTTTCCTTGCTGGCAGCTGGCGTGCGCCCGACGGACCCTGCAGCCCTGGAGCTGGCCAGGGCCATCGCCAACGATGCACCCAAGGAAGTGACATTGGTTGGGGTCTATGCACACTGTGGGAACACCTATGGCTGCAGTGGGGCAGACGCCATCCAGGCCATCGCCAGGACCACCACCAACGCTGTCCTCGGCTTTGTGGCTGCGTGAGTGCGTGCCCCAATAGGGACCCCATTGTACACAACGCCCGGCCCCAAACCTGGCTAGAATTAAGGGGAATTTTTACAGGGGCTGAGCCCTTTGCTCTGTCCATCCCATAAAACCACCAGCCCCAATGTGCTGGTTGTAAATGCAAATCGCCCGCTTCCTGCCGGCCCCATAAAGCGCGGCCCCACAAAGCCCTGAGCCCCAGGGGGCCGGAGGGGATGGCCCCAAACCCCTTTGATGTGTCCCGTCCCCAGTCTGCCCACCTCCCTTTTGTCCCCCGGGGGAAGAGCTGAGTGGGGTTTCACATCCCAGAGTGAATTGCAGACGGATGTTTCTCCCTTCCCTTGAGGTCAGTGGGATCTCTGGGTGCACGGGGACGTTCTCCAGCTCAAAATACCCTAAACATTCAAGGAGTTCAAGGCCAGCTGTGTGGGGTTCCCCTTATGAGCCCCCATTTTTCAAGATCTGGGACATATTCCCCTAAACCCAGCTTCAGAATGCACTGTGCCTGACACATGTGGGGTGCATCTGGGGGGGGAGGGGGGAATGAAACCCAAGAGGGAGACCCCAGGCACAACGTGGGGGCTCCCTGCACATTGGAATTTGGTTCCTGCACAATCTGGAAAGATGCTGAGCACATTAGAGTGTGTGCTCTGGCACATCTTGGGATGGTAATTGACCTTATCTGGGTATCCCTTGTAACAGTCAGCTCTGGGAGGGGTGAAAACCTCCACACTTGGATGGCCATGGCACATCTGGATTGTCCCTTGGCACAGTTGTGGTTGGGAGGGAACTTCTTCCACGTCAGGATGGTGCCTTGGCACGTTTCATGGGGGGACCTCTTCCACGTCTGGTTGGTGACTGCACATCTGGGTGGGCCCCAGCACATTGGGGGGGGAGGGGGGGGTGTTAACTTTTCCACATCTGGATGGCTCTGCCATCACACCTGGACGGTTCCCCTTCCACACCTGGATGAGACCCGGACTCCCTTGTGGTGTCGTTCCATTGCGCGGGGGGCACATTTGGCCCCACTCGATGGCACGACAGCGGTGACACCCAATAGGTGACATTCCCCTTTTCCCCCCCCCCAGGCTGAGGCAGGCTGGTGTGCCCTGTCCCCACGCCAGCATCGGCTCCACTCCCTCCTGCAGCCACCCCATCCCTGAGATGTCCCAACTCACCGAGCTGCACCCGGGCAACTACATCTTCTACGGTGAGTGCCCACAGCACCCCGCTGCCCCACCGTGTCCCAGCACAGCCCCGACCCCACGGCTCTCTGCAGACCTGCAGCAGACACAGCTGGGCTCCTGCCAGCCCCAGGACGTGGCCATCCGTGTCCTCACGAGGGTTATCGGGCACTACGCGCACCGAGGGCAGCTGCTGGTGGACTGTGGCTGGACAGCACTCAGCCTGCACGGGGCAGGAGCAGGACGGGGCGCCCAGGGCTGCGCTGCCATCGATGGGCACCCCGAGCTGCGGTGAGTGACGGGGTCAGGGACGGGGTTGGGATGGTGGCCCAGGGACATGACGGTGTGACCTTGCAGGTTGGTGGGGCTGACGCAGGAGCACGGGCTGCTGGAGCACGCTGATGGACAGATGGATTTTGGGAAGTTCCCCGTGGGCAGCGTGCTGGCGCTCATCCCATACCACGTGAGTGCTGTCCCCCATCCCCTTGTCCCCAGTGTCACCCCGTGTGTCACCCTACTCTCCCCCACAGGCGTGTGCTACGGCGGCCATGCACCCTGTGTACTACGTGCACGAGGAGGGGCAGGTGGTGGCCCTATGGCACCCCGTGCGTGGCTGGTAGGGCCCCATCCCACTGCCCATAATGAGGACCTGCGCCCACAGTGAGATCCTATAGCCATAACGAGGTCCTGTGCCCACGATGACATCCTACACCCACGCCGAGTTCCTGCAGTCACACCGAGATCTTGCAACCCTGCTGAGATCCTCATGGCCAGCACGAGATCCTGCAACCACACTGGGATCCTGCAGCCGTGCTGACATCCTGTGAGCATCACGAGGTTGTGGAGCCATGATGAGACCCTACATCCATGATAAGAGACCCTACACCTATGATGAGAGACCCTACACCCATGATGAGAGACCCTACATCCATGATGACACCCAACACCCATGATGTGATCCTACACTCATGACGAGATCCTGCACCCATTATGAGAGACCCTACACCCATGATGAGACCTTACACCCATAATGAGAGATTCTACACCCATGATGAGATCCTACACCCATGATGAGAGACCCTACACCCATGATGAGATCCTACACCCATAATGAGAGATCCTACACCTATGATGAGACACCCTACACCCATGATGAGATCAGATCCTACGCCTACATCAAGATAATGAAACCACACTGAGATCCTGCGGCCCTGATCATGTCCTGCATCCATGCTGAGATCCTGTGCCCATCTGCAAGTCCTACACCTACACCAAGATCCTGCTGCACTCACGCTGAGATTCCACACCTACACCAAGATCATGGAATCATGGAATGGTTGGGGTTCGAAGGAACCCAAAGGATCATGAACTTCCAACCCCCTGCCACAGGCAGGGCCACCAACCTCCACATTCAATACTAGACCAGGCTGCCCAGAGCCTCATCCAACTTGGCCTTGAACACCTCCATGGACGAGGCATCCACAGCCTCTCTGGACAGCCTATTCCAGCACCCATGTTGAGATCCTACACCCACACTGAGATCCTACACCCATAACAATGTCCTGCATCCCTGCTGAGTTCCTATACACATCCTAAGATCCCACACCCAAGACCCTATACTCACATTGAGATCCTACAAACCTATGCTGAGATTCTACGCCTACACCAAGATCCTACACCCACGCTGAGATCCTACAATCATGCTGAGATCCCATATTTGTGCTGAGATTCTGCATCCACTTCCTCAGGAGGGGTCAATAAAGTCGCTTTTCTCATTTCTGGATGCTTTTCGGGGGAGCACTGGGACTTTCTGGGGCTCAATGAAGGCCGTGAGGACGACATCCTACTTGTCACCCTATAACTGCCCTGTTGAAATCACCTGGCCCAGGAGGCTCAGCCGTGGGGCAGGGTGGGTTGTGGAGATGGTGATGGGCATATGGGGGGAATGGGGATTGCTCCATGGGGTCCTGGGAGAACAGTGGGGTTGAACTGGGACATGCAAGGCCACATGAGCCTACAGAACCCGGGCTGAAAGTGGGGGGAATTGGGTGAGCTGGGATGAACCCGGCTGAATGGGGCTGAACTGGGATGAACCCGGCTGAATGGGGCTGAACCAGGCTGAGCTGGGCTGAACGGGGCTGAAGCGCGCAGGACGCCATCTGAACACAATCGGAACCATTTGAACTGGGCCGGACCTGAGCTGAACGAGGCTGAACTGGGTTCAAACAGTCCAAAATGCTCCGGACCAAACCGAACCAGCTGAGGTCCGACCCGACCCAACCCACCCCCGCCTCCACCGTCCCGAACCCCGTCCCGAACCGCTCCGGACCGAGCCGAGCGGCGATGGGCGTGGCGTCCTTTGGCCCCGCCCACACACATCAGCCAATGGCGTGGCGCCGCGCCCCTCCCTGCGGGGCAGCGCCGAGCCGAGCCGGGCCGAGCGGAGCGGAGACGAGAGCGGGCGGAACCGAGCGGAACCGAGCGGAGCCGAACCGCGCCGAGCCGAGCAGAGCCGAGCCGGACCGAACCGAGCTGAGCAGCGCCCCGTGGGGCCCGGCCCCGCCATGCGGTGGGGCTGCGCGGCGCTGCGCCTATCGCGGGCGCTGTGCCTGCTGCTGTCCGCGCCGCTCTGCCCGCAGGTCCGCTCTTTTTTTCTCTTCCCTTGTGGCGTTATTCTGCTTTCTTTCTCTCTGCCCTATTCAAGTTTGTTTTACTTTCCGTCCTTTCCCCTTTTCCTTGCGTTACTTTGTCGCATTCTGCTTTCTTTCGGCCCGTGTTACTCTGTTTCCCTGCACATCGCTGCGCTTTCTCCTTCGTTTTGCTGCCTTACTTCGTCTCGTTTTACTCTACTGTAAATTTTGCCCTATTTTCCTTATTTTACCATATTTTACTGCACTTATTCTTAACATTCTTCACCTTTCTTTACAGTATTTTAATTTATTTTTACTTATTTTGCTGCATCTTGCTCTATTTCTCCTTATTTCACAGTATCTTACTGCATTTTACTTTATCTTATTTTACTTCACCTTTTTTTACTGCATTTTGCTTTATTTTTCCTTTAATTTCCTTAATTTTCCTCTATTTCCCTTCGTATTCGACTTTATTTTCCTGCATTCTTTATTTTCCTCATTAATTTCCTATATTGTTTTCCTCTGTTGTTTTGTTTTACATCATTTAACTTTCGTTTATCTTACTTTGTTTTGCCACACTTTGCCCTATTTTGCCCTATTTTGCCTTATTTTGCCCTATTTCCCCACATTATTTCCCTGCATGTTCCCCAACCCCCTCCCTCTCCCCCTCTCCATGCATGGGACCTCCTCCCCCTCCCCTCCCCTCCTTCCACCCCATCTGGCTGCAAGCTGAGGGCCAGGGGCACCGTGTGGGACCCACATGGGACTGGGACCCCCCCGACCCTCCCCATCTCAGCCCCACTCAGGATACGGCCCCACACAACCCTGGTGGGGCCAACTGGGTTTTTTTTTTGTGGGGAGAGGTAATCTGAGCAGCCCCCAAATTGGGGAGGGGAGGGGGGGGGGGGTTTCTTTGGTGGGGGGACAGATGGAGGAGTTTGTGGGTTTTTGAGTGGGGGATGCAGTTAAGGTGGTGGGAAGGGCAGAGTTAAGGGGGTATGGGGCAGAGTTAAGGGGATGGGATGGGCAGAGTTTTAAGGGGATGTGCTGGGCAGAGTTAAGAGGATGGGATGGGCAGAGTTAAGGGGATGAGATGGGGAGGGTTAAGGGAATGGGATGGGCAGAGTTAAGGGGATGGGTCACAGTCGATGGGGTGCACAGAGTTAAGGGAGTGAGACCGGGCAGAGTTAAGGGGATGAGATGGGGAGGGTTAAGGGAATGGGATGGGCAGAGTTAAGGGGATGTGCTGGGCACAGTGAAGGTGATGGGATGGGCAGAGTTAAGGGGATGCAGGGCAGAGTTAAGGGGATGCAGGGCAGAGTTAAGGGGATACAGGGCAGAGTTAAGGGGATGCAGGGCAGAGTTAAGGGGATACAGGGCAGAGTTAAGGGGATGTGCTGGGCAGAGTTAAGGGGATGTGCTGGGCAGAGTTAAGGGGATGTGCTGGGCAGTTAAGTGGACGTGGCGCTGTGGGTTTGGGGAAGCTGTGGCCGCTTGCAGGACGCCCCACATGACTCCCCCATGTCTCTGGGCAGGTGTCGGCCCGCAGCCCGCCGTGCCCCAGCGGTGCCTGCACTCAGTCTGGCGAGTGCTGCTCCTCCTGCCCTCCAGGCTTCGGGGCGGCCGTGCCCTGCGGCCTCACCGACACCCAGTGTGAGCCCTGCGCCCAGAGTGAGTGCCACCCCAGAGCCCCACGCCTTCCCCTGTTGCCACCCACTGCAGCCTGGCTGTGAGCCTGGCCAAGTGATGCACCGTGCGTGCAGCCGCCTCTCCAGCACGCTCTGTAGCACTGAGGCGCGCTCCTCGCTCTTAGGGTGCACAGCAGAGAAAAAAGGAGGTGCATTGTGCCACGGGGTGACCCCAGAGCTCCCCTTATCCCCACATCCCGTACTCTGAGCCTCCCAAATCACTAAGGTTGGAAAAGATAAGACCCCCGAGTCCAACCCCAGCCCACCTTCACCATGCCCATTGACCACATCCCTCGGTGCCACATCTCCACTGTTCTGGAATATATTCAGGGATGCTGACCCCCCCCTCCCCCCAGTCCTGGGCAGCCTGTTCCTGTGCATTCCCACTCTTTCGGAGCTCTGAGCCCCCCTCAGAGCCCCCCACCACCCACATTCCCCCCTCTCCACCATCGCCAGCTGCTGCCCCATGGCTGTCATCACGCCCCGCATGCAGCAGATGCTCCCGGCGCTGCCGGCATTGGGGCTTTGATGTGGTTGGGAAGGGATGGGGGAGGTTCGAAGGGAGGGGGCACCTCTCCCTTTAACCCCATAGTACTGGATCTGATTTCCTCCCATCCCAAGACCTACTCTGGTCCCACCTGGGGTTGCCATTTTGGGTACCCCCACCCCATTCCAGGGGGAAACCGAGGCAGCGGCATCAATGGGAGCATGAGGGGTTTTCTAATCCCTCATTCCCACAGAGAAGGACCCGCATATCCCAAAACGGGCCGAAGGAAACCTCCCCAAGGAGAACAGCACAGGCCCCACCGCCTCAGCCACCTCCGCCTCCACCTTCGTCCCTCCCCTCCCTGAGGACGTGGGGCAGAACATCATCCCCGTGTACTGCTCCCTCCTGGCTGCTGTGGTGGTGGGTCTCCTCGCCTACGTGGCCTTCAAGTGGTAGGTTTGGGCTTTCTGGGGGTGGGGGGTTGGGGGTGAGGGGACGGTGGGTTTGACGTGGCGCAGCTGGCACACGTGCAGGCAGAAGCAGCAGCTGGCCAAGGCACGAGCAGCCGAGCTGGGGACGGCGGCCGAGGGCGAGAAGCTGCACAGTGACAGCGGGGTGTTCCTGGATACACACAGCCTGCAGGAGCCACACCAGATCGGCAAGGGTGAGCATCACCCATAGCTGGGGGGGAGTGTGTGTGTGGGGGGTGGGGGGGTGGGAGTGGGCTGTCCAGTCATTTCTTTGGCTGTGGTGGGATGGGGTGAAGGAGCACCCCGTGTCTGGAGGCATCTAAGGGAGATGGAGGTCTTGTGGAGAGATTGGTGCTGCCCAAATTGGGTTGGGAAGCATCCGTACCTTTGAGATCACGCAGGGAAGCACCTCATCCTTGGGGATAATCCAAATAGGGCTGCGGAGCACCCATACCTTGGGGATCATCTGTTGGGACTGGGGAGCACCCATGTATTGAGGATCATTCTCATAGGGCCGGGGAACACCCATGCGTTAGGGACGAGACTGAGGGCCAGCCAATGCTTGGGAGCCATCTAATGGGGTTGGGGGGCACCCAGACCTTTGGGGATAATGCTGACGGGCTTGGGGAGCACCCACACGATGGGGATCATGGATTGGGGTTGGAGAGCACGCATTCCTTCCTTGGGGATTGTCTGGATGGGATCGGGGAGCACACGGTACTCGGGGATGATCTGGATGAGGTGGGGGAGCAGCCATACCTGGGGATCATGTCCATAGGTTTGGGGAACACCCGTACTTTAGGGATGATTTGGATGGAGTTGAGGAGCGCCCATGGTTTGTGGATCATGTCGATGAGGTTGGGGACCTGACGAATGATCCGGATGGGGCTGGGGAGCACCTGTAGTTCGGAGAGCACCCAGATGGGGTCGGGAGCACCCAGATGGGATTTGGGTACGCCCATCCCTTAAGGAGCATCCGAATGGGGGGTGAGGGTGCACCTTTGCACAGAAGGACACTCAGTTAGGGTTGGGAGCACCCATGCAGGGAGCAGGGGATGCCACAGGAGCGGCAACACCATGGGGAGGCTGCTGGGGTCACCGGTGCAACTTTTGGTGCGTCAACGCTGACCTTAAACCCACAGCGCCCCGTCTGGAAGCTCGAGCCTACAGCTCAATCCCACAGCAGCGACGGGAGGAGGTGGAACGGCTGCTGGAGAGCGGTGGTCCCAGCGGGGACTGGCGTGGGCTGGCCGCCCGCCTGGGCTACGGGGATGAGGCCATCGGCACCTTCGCCCGCGGCCAGGCGCCCGCCCGCACCCTGCTCGCCACTTGGGCAGCCACAGAAGGGGCCACCGTGGAAGCCCTGTGCCTGGCTTTGGCTGCTATGGGACGGCAGGACGTGGCCGAGTGCCTGGCGGGGCCGGGAGATGCCAGCTCAATGGTGTGAGCCCAGCCGGGGGGCTCCTGGTGCCTCCGCGGGGTGAGGAGGAGGAGGAGGATGGGAGGCGGGGATGCGCGGCCCCGTTGGGTGGGTGAGGCTTTGGCCACCAGCAGCTTTATCCTGCCGTATTACTCTCGGGTTGTTTTTTTTTTTAAGTCGTTTTTGTACTTCAGGGGGGTTGGGGGAAATGTCCTTTTTTGTATTTTTGGGGTCCCAGCGTGGGGTCGGGACGTCGCGTGCCTGCTGCCTTGTGGTCTTTGCATTAAACAGCCGACGTGCCTTCGTGTCGCTGGTTTGTCGCGGCCGCTCCATCCCACGGTTCCCCACTCCCTTCGTGGGCCTTGCTTTGGGGACAGCCCTGAGCCCAGCAGCGCACAGGGACACAAAGGAGCACTTCCAACCCCCCAGCTGCCAGCGAAACCCAACTCCCTTCATCCTGAGGGCAAAACCAGGGCGGATGGGGATCCCAACCCCAAGCGAAGGGCTGCTGAGGATGGTGGAATACCTGGAGTTGGAAGGGTCCCATCGGGACTCGTGGCTCCACACAGCAGCATCCAAAAGCCAAACCCACCCAGCTCCACACCGTGCCATCCACAGGTCCATCCCCAGCCCCATCCTCTGCCCAATACCCTCCCAGGTCGGACACAGCATTGATTTCATTTTATTTTTATTTTTTTTAATTTTTTTTTTTTTTTTTTTTTTTACATAAAAAGTTCAGTAAAAATTGGATAAAGTAAAATGATTTAAGCAGTAAAATCAATCTTATCAACATAGCACAAGGCTGCCAGAAATTCAGGGGCAACCCGTTCCGGAATATTTACATGAGAACAGATTTAAACCTCGCAGAACAAAAACAAGAAAACAAAACAAAACGAAAGGAAATAAAACAAAACCCCCAAAACTATCCTTACAAAGTGTTCCCGTGATAACAGCACGTGTTGGGCTAAAAGCAAAAAGGAAAACGAACCGACGAACGAACCAACGGAAAAGAAAACCCTCAATATATTCACATATAGGTTAAAATATAATACACATCTCCGTGGTGGCTGGGCGCCGAACGGGGCCCCACAGCACAGCACCCCCAGCTGGGGGCAATGGCAGCGCCGGGGGGGGTCGGTCGGGGTCGAGGCGGTCACTCCAAATCCGTGTCCTCTTTGGGTTTGTAGATGGCCCCGAATTTCTGCATGTATTTCTTTATGTACTCCTTCGTTTTGTGTTTCACATTCTCGTTGCACTCCAGGTCCTCTGGGTTCTTGCAGTATTTCAGCTCCTTGTTCATGACGCCGTGCGTCAGCTGGGCAACGCAGGGGTTTGGTCAGAGAGCACAGAAGCACAGGATCACACCACGGTTAGGAAAAGACCTCTCGCATCCCCCAGCCCTGACCACTGACCACATCCTCAGTGCCACCCCTCCACACTTCAGGAACACCTGACCCCACCACTCCCTTTGCTGCTGCATCACCCCTCCCCTGGAGAAGCAGTTCCTCCTCAGATGCAACCCCAACCTCCCCTGGCTCAGCTCGAGGCCATCTCCTCTCAGCCCAAGCACCCCTTTCCCTGGTATTCCTACTCAGCCTCCCTCTCAGAAACCATCCCTACTTCCCTCCCCTGCTCCTCGACGACTCCAGAGCCCCACAGCCACCCCATAACCCACGGGGTGCCCTCACCTTCCGTGCCAGGTGCTTGAAGTCCTCGGTGGTGGTGATGCGGCCGACCTTGCAGTCGGGTTTGCGATAGGGGTTGAGGCACTGCACGATGAACTGAGACATCTGCAGGAGAGGCACAGAGCTCAGCCCCAGCCCTGCCCAACGCCGTGGTGCTGGGGCTGGGGGTTCGCTCAGGATAACTCACCTCTTTCCTGAAGACTTCCTTGCTTTTCTTGGCAAGCTCGCTCGACGTGTCTGCTTCCGCAGTCTTGGGCTTCTTGGAAGACTGGAGGGAGGGAGGGGAGATAGGAAGAAAAGATTGGAATTAATGAAGCAGCTTTGCTGTGTCAGCTCTGGATTGAGAGAGGAGGGCACACCTCACCCCAACCACCTCCTACACACGGCGGACATCACAGCCATACCCCACACCTCCCCCCTGGGGGATGCCATCCCCTGACCCCAATAGAAACACAGCAGCCAAAAAGTGTGACTTCAGCAGCACCTGCATGCCCAAAGGTTTCACCAGCAAGAATGTGTCCACAGAGCCACACACAGACCCTCTACCAAGCCGCCCAAGAGCCCACCCTGCATGTCACCACTGCTGCCATCTCTTGTCTCCTCCCTGCGCTCCAACAGCACTGAGAGGTACAGGTGTGCTGCCCACCTGCCCCAATCCACCTCTCCCCGATCTGCCTCCCTAAATTCACCTCCTCAAATCCACGTTTACAAATCTGTCTCCCCAAACCCCCCCTTCCCAAATCTCTCTCAATTCTCCTCCCCAAATCTGCCTCCACAAAACCACTCCTCCAAACGCAGCTCCCCCAAATCCACCTCCTAACGCCGCCCTAAATCCACTCCTCCAAATCCATCTCCTGAGATCCAGTTCTCCAAATGCAGAATCCCAAATCCACCTCCCCAAATCTGCCTCCTTAAATTCACTTCTTCAAATCCACCTTCCCAACTCCGCTTCTCCAAACCCACCTCTCTAAATCTGCCTCCCCATATCTGCCTCCACACATCCACTCCCTTCAAATCCACCTCCCCAAATCCGCCTCTACAAATCCACTTCTCCAAATGCAGAACCCCAAACCCACAGTCCCAAATCCACCTCCCCAAATCGACATCCCCAGACTTGCCTTCCCAAATCAAATTCTCTCTGTTCGCCTCCCCATATCTGCCTCCACACATCCACTCCTCCAAATCCACCTCCCCAAATCCACCTTCTCTACATCCGCCTCCCAAAAACCCTCTATCTAAATCCCCCTCCCCAGCCCCCCTTCTCAAACCCAGCCCCTCCACGCCGGAACGAACCCAACAGGAGGAGCAGGGCTGCAATGCCCAACTCTCACCCTATTGTTTTCTATGGGAAAAAAAAGCAGAATGGCCAGAGCTGCTTCTGGGGCTGCTTTGGGGAGGGAGGGGCCGAGCGCTGCGGTCGGCATTAGGAGTGCTGAAATATGTTTAGCTGGAGGCGAGGGGGAGGAAAGCAGAGCTTCCCCCTTCCCCGTTTATTTCATGCCTGTGAAAGCCTAATTATGATCCATTGGCTTCATCCTAACAGCCAGCATGGCTCGGTGGCACGGGGGTTTGGCTATGCTGGGCACCAAGCTGGGGTGACCACAGAGCCACATCTTTGCTAAGGGATGGGGAAGAGCAGCAGAGCTGCAAAGTCCCACAGTAAAAGCAGCTCTGGGCTTCAATAAAACGCTCCCATGGAAGTTTTATGGCTGAGAGCAATCCCTGAGTGGAGTGAATTAGGGCCGGGGCGTCCCTGCTGGCTGCACATCAAAGCCCTGCGCCGGGTACCTCCATCAAAGGGCCCTAATGGGGAACACATGGCTCTGCACCACTCCCTGCGTGCCACGCGGGGTCCCCTCGGCTTTGGGGATGGGTCCTAAAAGGGGGAGGCAGCTGTGGGGGTGACTTCCTGGGAAAAGTGGGGGACGTGAAGCTGGGAGCGACAGCTGGAGCAACAACTGGGGTCAGATCACAGAACGTGCCCAGTTGGAAGGGACCCCCGATATCCTGAGTGCAAGGGGACAGCAGGATGGCAGCATTAGGATGGCAGCATTAGGATGGCAGCACTAGGATGGCAGCATTAGGATGGCAGCGTTAGGATGGCAGCATTAGGATGGCAGCACTAGGATGGCAGCATTAGGATGGCAGCACTAGGATGGCAGCGTTAGGATGGCAGCATTAGGATGGCAGCGTTAGGATGGCAGCACTAGGATGGCAGCATTAGGATGGCAGCACTAGGATGGCAGCATTAGGATGGCAGCGTTAGGATGGCAGCATTAGGATGGCAGCATTAGGATGGCAGCATTAGGATGGCAGCATTAGGATGGCAGCATTAGGATGGTAGCATTAGGATGGCAGCACTAGGATGGCAGCGTTAGGATGGCAGCGTTAGGATGGCAGCACTAGGATGGCAGCATTAGGATGGCAGCATTAGGATGGCAGCATTAGGATGGCAGCATTAGGATGGCAGCACTAGGATGGCAGCGTTAGGATGGCAGCATTAGGATGGCAGCACTAGGATGGCAGCATTAGGATGGCAGCACTAGGATGGCAGCATTAGGATGGCAGCATTAGGATGGCAGCACTAGGATGGCAGCGTTAGGATGGCAGCATTAGGATGGCAGCATTAGGATGGCAGCACTAGGATGGCAGCATTAGGATGGCAGCAGGGAAATGGGTTTCCCATTCAGCCAGGGTTTATCCATGAGCCCCCAGGAGTCTGGCAGTGAGTTTCTAACCAAGCCAGTGACACCTTACAGAGGAGAGCACTGCGACGGGGTGGTTTGAGCCAACCCTCCCCCACTGAGGACCCAAGGCTCCTTGATTGCTGCTGCTTTTCCTCTGCCCAAACCCAGAGGGGAGTGCAGCCCATCCCCTCCCTCTTCCCAGCCTGGCCACACCGGTTCCTGGAGCTATGTGCAGCTATTTTGGAGGCACAGCTGTGAGCACAGAGGCCGCAGAGTGGGGAGCAGCCAGCAGGGCCCCGCAGGGCTCAGGGTGCGAGCTCCAACAAGCCTCAGCTCTGCATTAACAACCCTCACGTGAGCCTCGTACCTCCAGGTTCTGTTATACCCCCAACGCAGCCAGAGGCAGACAGAGGGAGGCCACAGCTGATTTCCAGAGCAGCCACAGCAGCGTAGGCACATGGGAGCAAATGATGGAAGACAAAAGCCAGCAGCATCACCTGGGCAGCCCCAACCCTCTGCCCTCAGCCTGGCTGTGGGTCCCAGGGCTCTGGCTACAGCTGGAAGGCAGGGATGTCAGATCACGAATGGAGAGCAGCACCAAAGTCAGCCAGGAGAGCACAGCCCAGTGCAAGAAAACAAACTGAGGCCCAACCCCACTGACATCCCAAGCTCCCACGCTTGCCCGGGTCAGAGCTCTGTGCTGCTGCCATCCACCCACACTCAGCACTGCAGGCTGAGCCTCTCTGTGCAGGTCAGTTCTGCAACAAGGGGATTTTGATTTGGCCCTTGGGGAGCCCCAGCGACTCGCATTCATTGGGTGGCCGAAGCGGAGCCGGATGATGCGTTCATGGAAAAATGACAAACCTTT